TTACAGTTTTTGGGGTATGGTGATTTTCATATTTAATCTATTTATCTTTACTTCCCCACCTACCCCGTCCGCGAAATGCAATAAATGCGAAGCGGACGTAAAACCTATAAATCAGTCAGATGACATTTTATCACTATGGCTGGTATCAGGAAAGTGGAGTATGTCATGTCACAGAAGGGTACTGTGCAGGTATTCCTAGATGGCTATCGTTATAACAAGAATGTTGTCAGACAGACATGCATTCACTGGAAGTGTGTAGACTCCACTTGTAAGGGCAGATGCACCACTGTAGGTGACATCATCAGAAATGTCTCAGCAGTAGAGTAAGATTCATCAGTACCATGAGGAAGAGGGCCAGAGAAGAAACCATGTCGATGCGTACCCTGTACAACGGTGAGGTAGCTACAGAAGACCAGCCACAGCTGCTGCCATCGTTCCCATCCATGAGCAGTGCCTTGTACCGACACAGGCGGAAGAAAAACCCAGCACTCCCACAGACAAGAGCTGAAGTCCAACTTGAAGGAAACTGGACTGAAACAACAGACAGCTTTTCACTGATTGCGATGCCAACAAGATTGTTGTATTTTCTACCCATGACCAACTCCAAGCTTTGCAGTCTGCAGACACTGTATACATGGACGGAACATTTACATCTTGCCCAGATCTGTGGAACCAGGTATACATCATACATGCAAGAAGTCGTTCCTGTATGTGCCCACTTGTCTTCGCCCTCCTGCCTGACAGACAGACCACAACTTACACCAGACTGTTCAGCCGACTCAAAACAGAAGTCCAACAGAGATTCAACCGTCCCCTCGCTCCTGCCACTGTCCAGACGGATTTTGAGAAGGCTGCCATTCGTGCCGTCAACACAGAGTTCCCGAATGCCGACGTCAAAGGTTGTTTTTTCATTATTGTCAGGCGATCTGGCGGAAGACACAGGGTCTTGGATTAGCAGTACAGTACAAGGAAGATCCTGGATCAGAAGAGCTGCTGGACTTGCCCTCCTGCCCTTGCGTGATGTCCAGGACACCTGGTTGGATGCTAAGCAGGCAACTCCACCAGTTCCGAGAACTGAAGACTTCAATGACTATGTGGTCATCAACTATATGGTCATCAATTGACGATGATGCTCGGTTTCCAATACCTCTCTTGAATTACCACCAGACAGCCGGCCCTCGCACCAACAACAATCTTGAGGGATTTCACCATGGCCTTAACAGAACCTTACCCCACCGCAACCCGAATATCTACCGATTTGTAGAAGTGATTAAGAAGATTGAGTGTGCAGACAGGACAAAAACAGTTAGACTTTGGTGCCGCCCCACCCAGCAGGAAGCGAGTTTACAGAGAGACTGAAAATCGCCTGAGACGTCTTAAGGACATGTTGACTCAAGGACAGAAAACCCCTATCGAGTTCCTTGATGCTGTTGGTCATCTTCTCAAACTTGGTTAAGAGACTTGAAATATAGTAGTTTTAGTGCTGTATGTGACAGAGTGAGGCCAATTGTGACATTAAATTAGTGTGTGTACTATTTATTTATACCAGTGCTATATATAAGTTAATTATAAGTTGCCATTTTTTAAACATTTTTTCATAAGATGAAAGAAATGATGGTGCAGAAAAAAGACTAGCAATTAACATTATAACCGTGATGCAAATGCGTTACTTAATACAGTCCACAAAGAACAATATATAGGGCGCCTTTACTATTTATTCGTTATATGATATCAATAATTCATTTATGGATACTAAAGAATGAATTTATATCACACATCTGATTGTTTTTTATCATGAAATGTTTATTAATATGGAAAATCGGTTTTTAGATATCAATAACTGAATTCATTATCAAATGATGTACTTTATCATCTAAAAAATAAAATATGGTATTGTATCTATAGCCTCCGTCTCCGTGAACTTTATGCCCATTTTTTAATAATTCGTGAAGATAGGTACAGTTTCGTAACATTTGCATATATAGTCATATTCAGATGATGTCTCATTGTAGTTTAATGCGATTTGAATATTATTATTTACTATCGTACTTACTTATTGTTTTAAATGAGACGTTTAAATTTAGATGTCACCACAAATTACAATTATTGCTTGTACGTTCACCACAATTGACAAATACTCTAAAATCTATGACTAGTAAACCATTAATGTACGTTGAAAAATATTATAATGTAAATGCCAAAATGATGTATCCAGGATCAAGTAGAAGATATATGGACAGCAGCGCTGGAAATTTATTCAACAGACCCGTGAAAACAACACCGCTTTAGCTCAATGTTTACCACTCCTGGCGGCCATTATGCGACGGCCATCTTACACACAACCCCGTGCTCACGTCTACAGGTCTCTTCCTGTGGTACGGTAATTAGTATAGCCCCCTCCCTCAAGTGTATCCTCCAGGATATATTCTACTCTCATTAATTAAATGCTGCCCTTTCCCAGCGTCACGGCTATGGAGCTGAGACGAAGAGGCCCAACCATCATAAAGTAATTAGGGTCCAATAAAAACAATGCCCCACCAAACCTCATAAACATGATCACTGAAAGTCGTACTACAGACGCTTAATGTCAAATCACAAAAAAGCATTTGAATAGCAATAACATGTAACAGGATCATGTATTCTCTTAACACCATCGCAAGACACCATGTAATCACACCTAAAAATGAAACATCAGCAAGTACATATAATAAAATGTGTATTAACATTTTTCGTCAGGAAATCAAAAAGTCATCTCCTTGTTACCACGTCCAGGTTCAGGTAGACATGCCCATGGGTCCTCCTTTGGTCAAAAGTTTGTTCCCCCTCTAATGAGTGTGACACGCGTTGCACACGGGTATCACACGCGTGGCGTACGGGTTCCACACGGGTGACCAACGGGGTGCACACGGGTTGCGTAACGCGTTGCCCATGCGTGTAAGGGGAATGAACTTCTAGGCAGTAGTGTACTCTGTATAACTAATGTTTCAGACCCAAGCACACCGCTTCCCGGAATATACTCCCTCGGAGCAGACAATGTAGAAGTGGTTGACAATGATGAGGGGACCCGCTCAAATCATCAGATCTAGTGTGTACGAGGAGGTATTAAAAGGCTTTTGAGCCTAGCATACATAGAAGTTAAATAATTGTCGTAGGCTTTAATTATTTTTTCACCAGTCCCCTTGCATTTCAATACACTTGTTCCTTTTCTTCTGGTCAGTTACCCTGTTTTGCAGATCAAATCCATCCCTCCACAACAACAACCAATGTTGTTGTTGTTGTAAAATCTCTGACCACGAAAGTGTTTTTGTTTCAAATTTGAAAACAGTTTGTAGTCAGTAGGAGTTAGATCTGGTGATTGAAGTGGATGGGGTAAAAGCTTGTATCCACATCCCCATACAGCAGCCATTGCAAAATGACTGGTGTGAACTGGAGAATTGTCCTAAGAACCCCACGTCGAAGTTGTCCGCGATTCTACGCTCTGATAGACTCGCGCAAGCTTTCAATAAGTTGGCATAACTTTCACGATTCGTGGTTGTTCCCCGAAGTAAATGTGCAGTATGTCTTTGCTGTCCCAAACGAAAGTGGTCATCACTTTGTTAGTGGGTCTGGTTGCTTTAAACCTCTTAGTTTTGGGAGACCCGAAGTGAATCCATTCTATGGGTTCTCGGGATTAATTGAGGCATATGATAGGGCACCCTCCCAATATACAGCATGCAACCGTTCATCAATAATATTTTGTGATTGACCCACTAGGGTCAATGATTTATAGACTGCGGACAGTTTTCTCCATTTCAATGTTTATGAGTAGGGAACCTCTGAGTCGGGAGTCATTATCAGCAAGTCACAGGACTGAAGCACGCCAAATTGTGAAAGGAGACTACTCAACAAACAGTGGCAACACTAATATGCGTCACACGTGAGCAGAACAATCTAGATATGCCAGACTCAAAACTTCGGATGACTGTTTCCAATGAATAAAGATAATCCAAACAACCAGCTGAGGTATATTGTATTCACGTAAAGGAAATATGAGTATCATAACTTACAGATTAAAATATAAAATGCAGCAAAGAGGGGTTGAGTGATCCTGGCACAGCCAGGCTGGTTAGGCTTATCATCATCCCTTCAACACGCAGCCCAGAGACTGAATGGGACTTCTCCCAGGAAGCGCTGCCTTGTCAAACCCACCCAGAACGTTTCGGATAATGTGAAAACGCCCTAACACTGCAGCCTTCTGCATTACCCAGATTGTCATCAGGTCTGTATTCCTGGCGGCAAACCCGGGTACTCTGCCAAAGTCAGTCAAGCTGACTGGGAGGTACCAAACCTAAGGTACCGAGAACAATGGGGAGTCGGACAACTTTGTACTTGGGATGCAAGCGTGACATTTCCTGAAACTTGTCAATCAATAATTCAATAATATATATATGATTTCGTTGGATTTATCAAAAGGCTGTATACGGACCTATTCCAAAAGATTTTGTATTTATTATTTTCCATTACGCCTTCTACATATTCTGGGTCGTACCATGGATGGACCGCTGTGTCGAAACCACAAGCATGGCGAAGACGGTATTATTATTATAATTCATATGATTTTTATTATTATTATTCGTAAAGATGACAGCTCACGTGTGGAGGGCAAAAGCTGACACATCTATGGATATTGTCTGGGAAGTTTGGGACAGTTGTTAGGATAATATGTTCTTATACTCTATTCCACGAGATGGTTCCAGAACAGTAAACATTTGTAATTGTATTTTTACCATAACGAACCCAATTCATATCGGTCCAAAAGAAAAAAATAAATAAAACTCTGATTGAAGTGATCTTTTGTTGTCCCTGATAAACTTGGACACTGAAATAAAATCATGCAAGGGTGGCATTGGTATTTCAATACCATTGTAATTAGGGGAAGCAGTAATCACATTGATTACAGTATATATACCTGGCACTGAGAAGGAAGCCATTTAATACCAAACAAATTCCAACGAGCTGAGTGGCATAACATTTTATATTTATTTTTCATATACAAATGACATAGTACAGAGCAGCAGAATCATACATTGTAACAATGACGTGTTGTCCTACTGGAACTAAAGGTCTACAGCCCAAATATTCAAAGTATGGTCTAAACTTAGTTGTTATTCACAAAAATACTTTGTTGACAATTGCAATTTGTACTCTTCCTGAGATGTAGTTAGACAATAGAGTAGAGAGGTAATGTGCGACTGTAATTACTCAAAATGTTCTCCCAATTAAAGTGACCTAAGATATCACTCAAGTACAACACTGTCACTACTTAACATAATACATTTGAATGTCACGACACATTAGTTATTGATTCAGTCCAAACATTCAAAATTCATAAGATAGTACATAGCATGCATTCTCTCTGGAAACTTGAAGAAGTTCTTTTATCTGGCAAATTGAGTGATTGGGTTAAGCCTGAACAATAATTTAGTGGTCACCTTTGGATTTGGACATTTACAACTTTGGTCAAGCCCATGAGCCCCTGAGAATCGTGATGGCAAACCCAACAATTTAAATGATGATGAATCTGGGGTTCGAATCTGAGACAGTAAATTCTGGCAGGAAAACAATGTTCATTAACCATATGTAAACAGTCACTTTTTATTGATGTTCAAATGTACAGTTCCCAGTCCAGAAACTAAATACCAAGCTTCCTAATGTTGATTACTAAACCACGAATCACTTTATTCTGACTATAAATGGCTTCAAATGACAATGCAGTAAGATTTGGTTGGCTGTATTTTGAGTAATTACAGATGATATATTCTAAACTGCTATACCAGTGATGCAACATGGATGCTGTAAGCATAAGAATAAAGACAAATGTACATATCAATAGGTCACACCAAAGTCAGCCACTGTCAGTACTCAATAGTTCAAGTCTTAACATATATTTTCTGCCCGACTTGTAAGATAAATAACGTTAAAGACCATACCAATTCTCACATTAAGTTTAGTGTTTTACAGAATACATGAAAATAACTCGACATAATGTCACTCAATGCAGCCCTAATACCCCCGATAATCAAACAAACTCACACCATAATGTTTACATAAATTACAATTCCTGCTTTTATTCAGAATTTGAGTTTAAAAAGTATGGCACATTAAAGACTAATTACATGTTATGTACATTATGTTTGTCATTTTATGCAGCAGTCAGCAGTATTCCAACTAGGACACATTAGCCTGTAAAAACTCAACTCTGGACGAGGAAAATCAATCCCATTTCAGTCAACTCTAAAAAATCATTTTTTAACTTTTTGAAGTAAGATTAGTCAAATTAATCATTAACTGTTGCTGTTCTAACCAAAGGATGCAGGTCATAAGTGTTAAGTGAAACCCACTGAGCATGGATGAGGTACTTACAAATCTTTAACACAATCAGGGTGAATTAGGGATGTTAACCCCCAATCATGGCCAAATAATGTGCTTACTGGAAAATATGTGATATAAATGTATTTCTGCAAGATACTACTCCCAGAGATACATAAGCATCACATCAACAGTGAGTGAGTGAGTATGGTTTTACGCCGCTTTTAGCAATATTCCAGCAATATCACGGTGGGGGACACCAGAAATGGGCTTCAAACATTGTACCCATGTCAGGAATCGAACCCAGGTCTTTGGCGTGACGAGCGAATGCTTTAACCACTAGGCTACCCGACCGCCCCTTCACATCAACAGACCAATTAATTAAACAGGATCATTTTGTTTGGGGAGGGTAGATTACAGGAGTCTATTATAGGAGTTAGTTTCTATTTAAACTTCAAAAGGCATGAAGTGACAGTATATGTGATCTACTTTTCAACATTAGAAAAAATAGAAAAGTAACAGACTGTTCTGTAGTTTATCCCCTTGAATATCGAGTTTGATACATTGAACACTACTTCAGTTGTAATAGAATCCAAGATTAATTAAAGGCGGACAGTGATGGAGATTGTAGAGGAAACCTTCCAGCAGATGTTATGTTTTAAGTATTAAGCAAAACCATCCCCTCCTTAATAACAACACAACCGATTTTGACATCTAAATTACTTGAAAAGGTTATATTTCCATTCAAAGTTTTTTAATTTATTGTTAAATTGGCAATATATTCAAAGTAACCCTAACAAAGGAGACAAATTATTAATTCATCAATACTGATTGAAAACTGCAAGTTTATTATGGAAACTGCCACAATTACATAGTCCATTGACAAAGCGCTACATAATTAGGCATCAGTATACATTGACGTTTGGCAAACACCTGGAATTCCCAGTATGGACGCCTGGCTTAGAGACTATGTACACCAAGCTCGGTACAAATCAAGACTTCAACTAAATTACCTTTCATCATGTGGCCAAGTATAGCAAGGACAGATAACAAAGCATAGTTCACAGGTCGACATTTTCTATGTGTACCTTGTGTGTATCTCACTATCAACAACTAACATCATTCAAAACCAAAATTCTCCATCAATTTAGCATGGTAACTGACTGCTGCTTGCAGACATCACACTGTCTATCCTGACTTTCAAAAAAACATGTCGCTGATCGCATCATCCACACATTTCTCTGCATGTTACAGGCAGTACTTTGTGCAACATCACAATAAACTAGGTAAGTGACTATATATTACATAGGATATAAACGCAATATACACCAGCACTTATTTACATATTTACAGACACCATGTGGAGTATAGAACACATAAAATCCATATAGAGCATATAGCATAAACTGTTTTACAACAAAACACACATACCATTCTTTCGCAACGTAACAGCTTTCTCAAACAGAGCTCTTGCCCCTAACATATTTTGATCATCAGAAAATTTATGTAGTATTCACTGTAATAAGCAATCCAGTCATTTCAAAAGTTGATCAATTTAAATGCTTATCAAACCACCAACAAAAATATAATTTGTTTTCAGATGATCAAGCTCTAGTGAACAAATTTATTTGAAGCCAAATTGTTTTTGATGAAATACTCTAAAAATAAAAGAGAAACGCAAAAGGAGTAAAATCATAAGTATCTGACTGAGTGTTGCCGATATCCATATAAAATTAATACCAAAAACGAACTGGACACTTCTGCACATACTGAGATTGATTTGTGCAGAAGGAATGAGGTACTGAAGAAATTTGGTGAAAAGGTATAGACAACTTAGGGTCATATATTTCACTCGTCATAAATTAACACAATGTTAGGATAATTATCTGACGTTTAATTTAAGTAGCTGATGCTCATAATGTAAAATTAAAACAATTTTAAACATTGTCCAAATTTCTTCCGGAAACGGGCCTCATAAAATACCAACTTAACCAATCAGCACCAGTCAAAACATTCCATAATGCATTGGTCACTGGCGTAGACAAAAATGAATACACCCAATACTTCCCATATTACCCAGTACATATCCAGGATGTCATATCAGCCCTAATTTGTGGAATCTTGATGGTACTGATGTAGGCTGTTCCCTGGTTAAAGCCTCATAAAGAGCAATGAATCATGTTAGAAAAAAAACAATACAGGACATCGGCACAATGATAATTCAGGATTAAATAAAATAGTACTAGCCTTGATCCAGAATTTGATATTTTCAGCATACATTAAAAACACTGAAATACTTGTAACAGTCATACTTCACCCACTCAAATAAAATTTGCTAATGTTCACAAAATATTAAAGAACTTTTAACTCTGACAAGCTTTTATACACAGAAAACTACTTTGATAAAGCTCAGTTTAGCTATTTACACAACATAAAGAAACATGCTAGACTACAAACATAAGCTGCACGTTTTACGAACAACATTCAGGTTCCTTCAGCCGATAGTATCAACAAACATATACAACTAAACAATGATATGGTAGACACTGAAGTAAACATTCTGTTGACTGAAGCAACATATTATGGAAACACACAGACACAGAATGAGAAAATTGCATTGGCTCCACAAATCTGATTTGCTTGTAAATAGTTCTCATGATTACACAAATAACCGTATCATACTTTATGGTACATGCAGTAATCTCAATTCATATTCTTCCAAGACCAAACAGGTCACTGATTCCTCATTAATTGTTCAAGAAAAAAATTAAGATGGATATCAACCTAATCATCAATATGCTATGTTTCTCACACCTCTAAGAGATCTGGGTATCAAAGTCTTCTGCCACAATGCTGGTACAATAAACACTTCATGGAAAATGAAGGATTTTCCAAAAATGTCTTATATCTTTCAAAATATCACCTAAAATTCCACATTTTTTTTCTCTTGGGAGAGAAAATAAGATAACCCTATTCAAAAGATTCATCAGTTCAACTGTAAGGAATTCACAAGTTACATCAACATATTCAGGGGCCATTTATTCTGTCTTGCCATTCAGTAAACAAGTTTAGTAATCTTATTTATGACCACCTACATATACTGTGATAAATTAACCATCTTAATATTCTGAAACAGTTCATATTGTGAAACGATAACAACAATAACAAACTGCCTTTGCTAAATGCACATGTACAGTGCTACCGCCAAGAATACTAAGGGAGATAACTTTCAGTTTCCCTTGAGCAAAGTGAAGTGCTATTTTCCCTACACATAAGCTAAACCCAAAAAACTGTCTTGGTTCTCAGGCACATTTTGTTTTTATTTCCATATTCAACAAAAAAAAGTCTTTATATATTCTGCATTTGACAGTGAAATGCTGCAATTCTAAAAACAACACAATCTATAGCATGCAGTTACTTCCCTTTACATGTGCACTGCTTTACTGCACATCTTGTGTTATTGTTGTGGCAGCAATAAAGGATTTTGTGTGCTTGTTTTGCCATGTCGAGAATGAAAACAGGAAATCTTTTATATCACTAGATGCATTGATTTACAAATTCAATGGTATTTGTGTACTGTATGCTGGACAATGTTTCATGCACAGAGAAAAAGATTACAAGTTTATTTGTTTTGTAAAAACAAAAGCCGGAAATAGCAATCAGCTGCACAATTTCTCCCCAATCTACTGGTTATTTAGTTTAAATAATATCATAACTAAAAACAAATTTCAACAGTGATAGGAATACCGAAGACTATGTATCTCTGACAACTAACGGTTGTTTCAAGCTGAGTTCATGTGATTTGCCGATCAGTTCATACATGATTTCACCGAAGTAATGTAAAGAGACTTGAATGAAATCTTGGATAAAAGTATATATTGTATTATTTATGGATTACAAACATAAGTCAAGATACACAATTAACACTTTTATTGCCAGATAGTGTAATAATAACAGGACCATCTTGCGTGTTGTGTGCTCACGGTGTCTTCACGATGTGAAATAAAATCGAAGCTCATAGTATGCTTGTATTATGCACACACTGGTAGTAAAACAGTAGTCAAATACTGTATTCCAGTATTTTACTCCTCAAGGAAAGGTAGGGAGGCCCTTTCCCAGGTTGACCGAGCAGATTTATCTCTCAGATTCATCAATACAGAATAACAATTTCCAACTGACGAGTAAGTATGACATCAATCATGGCACATGTAATTCCAAACCTATCGCAAGATTGATTACATTTTATCTTTGATTTAAATATGTGTATCTTAAGTAAATGTTCATGTACATAAGAATAGGACACACTACTTGAAAATGTTGTTTCCAATCAGCAAATGTGATATTGCGTGGGTTGTGTTTACAGTCAAACATGATGTAAAATCGGATAATAACAAAAGAACCATCAAAATCGTATTTGTAATATTTAGAGACAGTAATTCTGTTCTTCACATGATTTATTTTACATAAAATCATCTGTTTTATAGTTGGTCAATGCTGGAACAGTTTAACTAACAATTCTGTAAAAGTACTGATTCTAAACCAATTGACAAACATACACAAGCTAATTTTATTGCCAGAGACAGGAAACACACACAAACGTTAATGAAACCGAAACATTTTTTATAAGGGTTACGAGTAACAATATACCCTTTTCACATTTCTGTGATTTTTTGTAAATGCACACAAGAAAATATGGTGTGTTGAGTTGGATTTTACGCCGCTTTCAGCAAATATTCCAGCAATATCACAAGCAAGAAAATATGGAAAGACATGTAAATTTTTAAGCTCAGTATGTGGTGGTCATAAAGATTGGTTACAGGTTGGTCTAGAAGCTAGTCTGGCAATATGGCAAAAACAGTACTTCAAGTGGCTTGATGCTACACAATTCATCTTTGGAGAAACAAGGTACATGTACCAGGCTTCTTTCTGTAAGTAAGTTGTCTCTTCATCAGTACCCATCCCATTTCACTTCACCATTTTCACCCTACATCCTTCTCTTCAGTATGGAGCAAGGTCTTATATACCAATTTTAGCAACACCCAGCAATATCACATCTGAGAACGTGAGAACACACTGTACTCAACAGATGAATGGAAACTGTGTCTGTAGTGTGACACGCTTCCCAGCCAACTCTCAGCCTTTGTTTTCCAGCTAGTGAAGCTGCCGTTCTTAATGATCATCACATAGTGAAATCATATTGTTATCATGGGCGGATACAGAGGGGGGGGTGCAGGGGTGCGCACCCCCTCTTTTTATTTCGAAAAAAAACTTTTTTTCTGTATAAATTGCCACCAAAGTCAATAAATAGATCTTAATTGTGCACCCCCACTTTTCAAAAAAGCTGTATCCGCCCGTGGTTATTTTCTCAAATTATATAACATCTGAAACAATAATTTCAGTCCATCTTGTTACTGACTGTCATGGAGGTGAAGCTATACCCCTTAGTCGCAACAACATCTCCCTTGTAACACTTATCAATAACAAAGCAAGTTTATTTTGACATTTAGACTTATGCTCTGATTCTAAGCCTCTTTCATTAGTCAACATGGTCAAGTGTTAGGTTGTACTGAACAGAAATCTGCCACTTAATTACAAAGGTCCAACTATTTGCTCTCAATGAGTGAGCATGGAGAGTGGAAGTATAGTCTACACAGTAATAGATACTGCAGCCAGGAGCATTGGATCTCAGTAATTGACTTCACAAGTTTGCATGTGGAGAATCAAACGGTATTCTGTCAGACAGGTGAATCTGGTATTCGTTGGGGTAACCCTCTACAACTCGGAGAAATAGACATATTCTCTGAGGTTCGTGCATACAGTGGCTATCAGTCCACATACACATACCGCTAAACCCTGATAAGGTTTGAAGAGGAACTTGACTCCTCTTGCTTCATATATATAACAAGAGCATGTATTTCCATCCTGACACCAACTACTTCATGACACACTAAATCACAATTGCCATGCCCACACTTGCTTAACACAGCTCCTCAAGATCATCTCCTTCATAATTAGTTCAACACACAAATCATAATGCAAACCGATCTGAAGCCAATTGATAACATAGGCTCTTAAAACAAATTTACAACGTACAATACATGAAAGGAAAATACATTCTTCTGATATCCCACTATGACTTCTTTTCACCGGACTGTCCATCTGCACTACATTATCCACTCTTGCCATAACACACATACATTATAGACTTGATCACACTGAAGAGGAAGGTCTCGTTGGCTCGGCATCATTGCAGTCCAAATGTCAATAGGTTACCATTGTAAGATCATCAGATTCACACTTTCATGTCTTCTTGGGCAGCAAGACTTGCCAGTGTCTTTCTGATCCTCAGTGCTGTCAGTCGAGCAGCAGCATTGGGGTACCAGCACTCCTTCATAAGCTTAGCCATAACATGCAGGGCCTGAAATGTAAGGCACTTGTAGTCAGCATAAACTGGGTAAAATAAAAACAAGAAGTAAACAGTGTTTTTACTATCCCCCGCAATGGGGCACACTAGAATTCTGTTTGTTCATATAGTCATGATAGTAGTGAATGTAAACTAAACAAAAAGAGTCCCATAAAGCCTTAAGAAGAGATAGGCACTTGGGCTGCTTTATGTCATCAGTAAAAATGATTACATGTGAAATCAATGCACATGAAAGACCCCTTCTCTGGAAAAAAAAACCCAGTCTTGATAAGTATCTCTTAGATAAGCTAACTTCAGCAGTTTCTGAGAAAACTTGTCCCAATTGCAGACACTAAGCACCAAGTAAAATAACAAGGAACAAGGGCCGTAACTCTGTAAAAAAGTAATTGACCAATTGTCGAACTCAGTCTTGACAAGAATCTCTTAGATAAGCATGCAAACTTTCATTCATGTAACTTCAGTAGTTTCTGAGAAAACTTGTCCCCATTTCACACAGTATAGACTGAGTTGAAAAGCAGGGAGCAAGAGCCAAAATGGAATTACGACACCAATTTTCGAACTCATTTGAGATCATGACCTGTAACATCAGTGTGTAAAATTTCATTTCTCTGACTTAAATAGTTTTTGAGAAAATATGTCCCTTTGAGAAGCGGATGGACGAACGGATGGACAGACGAGCTCTGAACTTTGTGGCGAGGGATAATAACAGGCTTGCAAAAACTTAATATTGAACATTGTATATTTGACTTGATTATATTAAAAGAACTCCATAAGTGATAGCGTCACCATGTATACCAAAGTGAAAATAATAAATCAATGACAAATGGAATGGAATTTGTCTGTCGCTTTTAAAATACTACATCACAGGTGCTGAAATTATCTCTTTTGCTCTAAGAGCAACTAAAACTTTCGACATCTAAGATCGTTAAGTATTATCAAACAAAAGAATTCATCGTACTTCACCTCGCCTACAATTTCTGTTCTAAAGTAGTTCATGATTTACCACAACTTCAACTTTAGGAGGCTCTGTGCTAGTGTCATGCAAAACAGAGACATTGTCAAATTACACAGTATAATATCAGTCTTCGTCAAATGAGAGGTTGATACAGTAAACTACGATTACAACGAACTCAAAGGGACCACTGACTTAAGCTTGATATAACCGTAGTTCGTTATAAGCATATATACAGCAAATGGCCAGGACCAAAAATATGTTTGGTATATCCGTCAGTTCCTTATACATGTTATAAGTGTGTTCATTATAAACGTAGTTTACTGTATGTACATCATAAAATTTTGAATAGCTGACAATGACTTGCTAGGATTACCAACTGACTTGAGTCTTGTCCCCCTTAAAGGGGCTGGGTACAAGCGGTGTGACAAGGTGTCCCCTATTTCTATATACATTTTCCAGTGTAAAAACCTAGGCAACCTTCAACCAGCAACACGAGACAATGTGCCCACCTCAAATGTCTGCCAGCGGTTTGGAATGGCTGGCCTATGCTTGTCGTTACACACTATCTTCTTCATGTCGTCTAGGGAGGGGTCTGGGGGCACAAGGTCATAGTAAGGCATCTGGTACTCCTCAAAAATGCCTGAAACAAATGTATAACAGATGATTACACATCAATATCTTGAGATTCCTATTTTGAATGACACATTGTGAGAGTACCAAACAAATGTTAAGCTGAACAATGAAGAGTAAACCCTGAGCTGTAACTGGGACTGACAAGAGCATTTCGGAATCGAAACCCCAGAGGCCCTACTAATAAACATGTAAAGTTCAGGGTTGGATTTAAAAGAGTAGTTAATACAGAACGCCTTTGACTTTGCTAGATCTGAAGACAATAACAGGTTTAGTTTTGTTTGTTTGTTATTTAACACCACACGCAGCAATATGCCAGCTATATGACGGCAGCCAGTAAATAATCGAGTCTGGACCAGACGATCCAGTGACTGACATCATGAGCATCGATCTGCACCTTTGGGATGTGATGACATGCATCAACTTAGTCAGCGAGCCTGACCACCCGATCCCGTTAGTCGACTTTTACGACCAGCATTGTTGCCTTTTATGGCAAACAAGGGTTGCTGAAGACCTATTCTACCCGGATCTTCACGGGTGACAATAACAGGTCACAAATCTTCAACAATGAGAGAACAATGTTCACAAGCATACCTCCGATCATGCATCTGCGTGCAATCTCCCACAACACCAACCCAAATGAGTACACGTCTGCCCTCTTGAAGGATTCAAAATGATTCATGTTGATGGACTCGTCCAGAGCCTCAGGGGCCATGTAACGTTTCGTCCCCACACGGTTGTTGGGAGCAATGTCCACTTGGTCTGTCTTGGAGTCATGGCGTACTGCCAGACCTGCAATATGTAAGACAGTAGGACTATTATGTAAAATCAATAAAACCTGAAACATGACTACAATCACTGCTCTGTTGTCATATAACACAACACTCACAAACATTCCATCCATATAAAATGAAATCACGACCAAGTCACCAAGTTTGACAAACCAATCCATTAAGTCGCCTCTTATAACAAGGATAGGTTGCTGGGGGCCTATTCTAACCCTGAATCGCTGCAATAATGGATGACGTAAAGAAGGATCTCTGTCTCCTAAACAATGGATGAGGCTGTATACAGCCTTTAGCAATAAAACAAAAGCAGACGCAAAGTGGTATAACACATTTGGGGAATCAATTCTGTTTCTCGTGGTGTATTGTAACACTAAAGCCACCAGGAGATCCTACTGCTCCTCTGTAACAGCCGAAATAGGGTGAAATGTCGAATTCAAGATTATTGCACTTATATAGCAACATGCATGCACGTGTATGTGTGCGGCTGTTTGCACTAGTCCAGGCTAATGCCAGTTCCACTGAGATACCATGCCACACCTTAACATGAATACCCCACTCAGACAAAGGTGTTCTGACACCGAGCTGACCAGTCCTTGAATTATTCCATTAATGCTAAGCGCTAGGCAGGTTAACAAAAAGTACCATCTTTTGACATATTTTGGTATGATGAGGCCTGGGGTCGAACCACTGACCTCCCGCTCTCCGGGCAGATGCTCTATCCACTAGAACATGGAGGCAGTTGTCTCTTTAATAACTTATTATGCAGCAAAGATGACCATAACATGGGATAAAAGCTGCCTAATCATACACCAATGCAGATATAAAAATGGCCTCCGATGCAAGTACCAAAGAATTTCTACCCTGTAAGTCCTATGTGGTTCATCAAATATGATCATGATGATATTACACATCAAATCTCATTTGTTCATAATTCACCCATAGTTCAACCATTGTACCATCAGAAAACCAATCAATCATTGATCAATATTGATCAGTGGAAATCCCAGTATTGACTCACCTAAATCAGCTATACAGCAGCCATTTGCTTTGACTAGAATATTTTTACTCTTCAGGTCTCTGTGGGCAATAGCTGGTTTACCTGGAGACACAAACAAAACATTAAGTGTCGGCAGAAATTAGCATAATTATACAACATGACAAGGCAGAAATTATTGTTGACAATGAATTGTAGTTACTCTAAAACTACAGCAGAATTAAATCATTAAAAACGAATTTACAGCTGTTTCATACTTGAACAGAATTGAATTATTTCATGATTTAGATGCTCAAGTTTCTGAATTGAACTCAAACCCATGAAGTAAATTTAGGCACAAAAACAGAGGCATAGTATGAGGGAGAAAAACTCTCTTAATCATGTTAATGCTTAGATACTAGAGCTTAGGTTCTTCTGGCTGCTCATATTATCTAACATCTTCCCCAGGCAAAGGAGTTAACTGACTGTTAAAGTCCAGTTTCCACCCTTGCATGACTAGGCTGGAATTCCTTGGCTCAATTGTAACACCACCTTGGATATTACGAGTTATGTCCCTCCTATTGACCAATCAGATTCCACCTCTCATATCACTTGCATTGCTTCAAACAAAATGGAGGCGCCCAGTCAAGACCATCTGATCAATGATCAAAAGCTATATTGCGATAAAACAGGCACCCCCTAATGAAGTGCACCTTGATTAAAAACACGAAAAGATTAGGGAAATAGCTGTTGAAGCAGAGTTGGTGATACATATGCTTTACAAATAATGCAAACGACCGAAATCTACCGGATGTTGATTTGGTTACGTGATTTTGATTCGACTATGCATAGACTGATTAGTCCAGTCATTGGTCCAGTCTGGGGTTCTTGAGGTCTACTACTATTTTTATATTCATTTCCTAACAAATTTTCGACCCCTTTGATACTTGATTCGAACACTGAGGAAGGGTATATGTCATCTGACATTGTTCTGCAGAAAACACTGTTCTGGTACTATCGCATGAATTAGGTCACAGAAACAATTCAACATTTTCTTGCTGGGTCCTCGAAAGTCTGATCTTACATATGTAACCTTGATAATGCTTGCAACTGAGAAAGCATTTCAAGCTTCATCTTTAAAACAAATGAATGCACAAGATCCTTACTGGCACTACTCAGACTTTCTCTGACCAAGTAGGTTGCCAGCAAGTATCTCACCTTGCTGACCAAGAATCTCCATATGAAGATGGGAGAGACCATTTGCAGCAGACAGCGCTAGCTTAATCATCTGTGCAGGGGTGACAGGCTGTCTATTGAGATAGTCGAACAGTGACCCATTCTCGTGGTAGTCCGTGATGAGCCACAGCTGTGTCCAGGTGCCATTGTCTGAAACAAACATGTACAAGTGACAGGGGACACTGGTGTTTATGGGAAGCAAAATATTGTGCCATCGAACCGAGAACGGATGCAAACAAAGAACCAAATTGCACTTAAAAATAACTTACAATACATATAAGTTCAGTGGTTGATTTTCTTTAATCTCACATCAAAATCCATATGTATAATTGACTTAGGCATCTGACCCCTAACATGAGAATCTCCTAGCGTTGAAATACATCAACACCATGTAAATCCCTGGGACCATTAAACAGTTAGTCCTATGGTCTGTGGCCAGCAGAAAGCAAACTATTATCTTGTCAGTAGCCGAATGGTTCAGTCAATTGTCTGTACCTTCACAGACTTTGGTAGTACATGTAGTATACACACATGAACAAACAATGCAAGGAAGAATATATGACCCTGTTGGCAGAGCTTCAGGGTGATGAGGATTCCGGGATAATTCTGGTCCCCAGGAAGCTATGCTTGACGTAAAAGATGGATAATGAATGTGGTGTGGTCAGGCTGGATGGTTTGGTTCATTGTACCGCTGATGGTATAGGACATTGCCCATATCATTCATTGGTTTGTCACAATCATTTACAAGCTACCTGGGCTGTGGGATAGCCTAGTGGTTAAATCATTCACTTGTCACGCCGAAGACCTTGGTTCAATTCTCCACATGGGTACAATGAGTGAAGGCCATTTCGGGTGTCCCTGTCGTGACATTGCTGAAATATTGCTAAAAGCGGCGTAAAACCAACATTCAGTTATCAGCAAAGTAAGGAAAGGGATCAAAAATGGAAAGGATTTTGGTTTATTTTCAAGGGTCAATAATCCAGGCGTCTAGTACCTTAGTAACCTGTAGCACTGCGCTAGCTAGTTACCTTTTTAGATACTGAGGAACTTGAAGGGAAGGGTGGGATTGAAGCCTATATGGAACAGGCCACCCCCAGGGCAAGGGTAGGCACCAATAGCTAAATTTAAAAATTCATTTCAGACTGTCAGTACTTGTAGAAGAAGTCATTACCCTGCTCTCAACTACAACTTTTCGCTAGCCGGACTAGTGGCAATACTGGGATGTACACAGTTTGCGGTCATTATTAGCATGAGCATTTAAAATGTTAAGAAACCTCTCCACCCCTCCCTAATACTGAAGCCTAGCATATTTTGACAGGACCTGGATTCAGCTACTGCACAGATTGCCAGAAACCAGAATCAGATGAGCAACTGTAAACATTTTTGTTTGTCTGTCATTATCAATGTCAACATATCAACAACATTCATGTAAAAACTAACCCCATAGGTCACCATGCCTTTGTATTTATGAAATTACAATGTTAAATTACATAAAATACTATTCAAAGGTTCTGATCTGATGTCATGCTGACAGGTCACTAATTTTGAATCCTGCAACAACACCACCTGTTAGATTACTCCAACATAACAGATGTCAGAGTATAAAAAACAACTCACGATCCAACTGCAAATTGACATCTCATACAAGAGTTCAAGGCAAAAATGTGCCCAGTACTCAATTTTGAATAAATGCTGGCAATTTCAGTTACATAGAGCTAAGTACACATACATGTTCAATATCACTTTGGAATCTGAACAAAATTGTTTTCCTACACATTGTGTAAATCAACATGTAAAAAGTCATGTTTGTCATGGATTTGATAAAACAATATTATGAATATCAACAAAAATGTAAGGGTTGGTGAGTATGAGCAGATGCACAAAAGGTTCTGTCGCTTTTATTCATTGTTTGCAGTATATAAAATGTCAACTGTTATCATGTATCAATTAATTCTCTTTTGTACTTCAGTATGTGAATCAGTATTTTGATATCATGACATTTGTAGCTCAATGTTGGAGGTAAATGCAAGGTCTTGTTTGTTGTTTAAAGCGTCATTTCATTCAGCAATATTCAAGCGGCCTGTAAATAATGGGAGTCCATGGATGTTGAAATATCAAAATAAACAGTAAAAATTCAGTTGTCTGGTGACAAAGTCTACTTGTGCAGATTATTGACCGAAAATGATGTTTCATCACAAAGCATCAGATGTAAATTTATTTCTAACCACAATGATGAATTTGTCCATTCCTAAGCCATAATAAAATGAAAACCACATGTTTTAAGCATCCAGAGCAATTTACCATGATTGCATACACTGAACAAAAACACTGACAAATGGATGCATGGTACTTGGATCAAACAATCATGAAGAGCCTATCCTAAAGTGTGATGTAAATCAGGACAAGAAAGTATACACTGCCGTCAGATGGATAGGTCATACTCACGATGATTACTTTTTTTCAAAACCATATTAAGCACTTGTTACAAATACATTATCAAAATGAGGGCTGGGACGATACACCAACTGTGCAATGTGATACATATCACAATACCTTGTTTATGATGCGATATGTATCACGACACTTGCATGTGCTCTCATCTGTGGAGCATAAACCATTTTTTTCATAGACAGGATGGCCAAATACCTGGCACAATGACGATTTACAGTTGGCAGTATCAACTATGGCGCAATGGATGAAAATATTTACGTTTTCATTACTAATGTTCACAACTAATTAGTGTTTGGTGCAACATTTGTCAAAGCATACATTTAGGGTAAGAATCATATTTTATACTTAGTGTGTGACTGTGATTGATACTTGTATCGAGAAGTAAACAACAGTCATCGGAAGATGACAAATCCCCCCCAGCCCCTACAATAACAAAAGGCACTACTTCAGTCCCTGGTTAATACGTATACCAAGTTAAAATTCTTGACCGTTTTTGAGTTATGCTCCGGAAACAGAGATGATGATTATATATCCAGTGATCAAATAAGCCCCCGCCCGTAGGCCCATGGCAGGTAGATGTTGTTTGGGGCCCGTAGTTTCAAATTTGTATGGGTCCTTATGGCCTGCAGTAAATTTGCATGTCAATTTATTTGCCAAAATAAGTTGCAGTGTTTTTAATGAGGGCCTGAAGAGTTTCATCAGGGCCTGCAGTTTCTAAAGTCTGTGGGTCCTGATGGCAGCCTGGTATTTTTTAAAAAATTCAAACACTGTATATATCCCTCAGTATTTTTTGCCAAGGGGAAAAAATCATGATCCACTGATACATCGGCGTATTGTCCCACTACTAATCAAAATGGACTAAAGATCTGCGAAATTTTAAGGTTGTCCTCAGACAACGTAAGCTGACAAGTCACTTTGTACCAAATGCATAGGCTGCTGGGGACCAATTCAACCCGGACTCCCCACAGTAAACACAAAGTCATCCAGGTGGTAGATGATAGAACCTGGTGCAAAACAATCAGCGAATAATCTGGGATCCAAACCCATGACTAGTGAATCCTGGAAGCTAAGGGTGCACATTGAGATACCTCAATCCACTTGGCCACATATCCCAAAATGTCTTGGCTGAACTTATGGGGATTGTGTTGTCCTACCTTTGTTGTCAGCAGCGATGAAGCCAAGTATGTTCTCATGGCGCAGCATCACAGTCTGGTAGATCTCAGCCTCGCGGAACCAGGACCGCTCCTCACGAGATGAGAAGATCTTCACCGCCACACTCTCACATCTCCAGTTGCCACGCCACACCTCACCGTACCTCCCCTTGCCAATGATCTCACACAGGCGAATCTGTCGCGCAATTGTTCTCTGGACCAGAAGGGGCAAGCCTAAACAAAACGTTTTCATGGTAGGCCTTTTCAAACAAATTTCAAAACAGGATTTACAGTGAAGAGTTTAAATAAGTAAAAAGTATCTCATCGAATTGTCATTCAACATGACATATAACCAATAGTCAACAAGAGCAAAAGAGTAAATTATTAAGACATATCGTATGACTCTAAACAGTTTTTGAATCAAGGAAAACTAGCTACATGATCATGATAATTGTGTGAATGTTGTTTTTGGTCATAATCAACACCCTTCAGCTATATCATAACATAAAAAATGCTAGGACCGGACAATCCAGTGACTGGTAGCATTAGCATGAGCATCAACCCTTCCCACAAAAGTGACCAGGGACATGGTCACACTTAAAAGTGGTAATTAAACTAAGGTTATCAATACCATCATGCTGCCATTGTTTAATAACTGCAGAAATTTACTGGATGTAAAATCCTGTGTCTTATACACCTACAACATGAAAATGAACGCCAAAAAGACTACTGAGTGCATCAGAAAATTTCATAATTTGGTACCATTTAAAAAATGTCCATACCTAATCATTCAAATATTACATTACACAGATGACACAATCCTGTAGTGCTAGCACTTGTAGTTGCAGTTTGGGAATTCCATATCGATTTTTAACTCGTGGCAAAACAAATGTGTGAAAATTATATGATATTACCATAAAATAAAAACAAGAAATGAATAAAGTTGTTTTGTTTGATTTAACATTGTTATATTCATTTTGTTACATTTCTCTTGCACCCCTATTTTGTAGTTTGGGACCCCCATTTTTAAACCTGTGACCTGTAAAATTAAAGGTTGGAAGTCATTAGGACCCCCCAAATAATTATCCAGGTAAATCCCCAATGATACCTTCATCAGATATTTCTCATAACCATGTACCCAACAAGCAAATAAAACCCTGAATTAATAGGATATATGTTCAATTATTGCTAGGGTTGGGAATTGGACCAAAAAGTGTATTGCGATATATTGCAATATTTCAAAAACATATTGCAATGTTATTGCAATATATTGGGAAATAATTTCTACCAAGATAAAAGCTTTTTTTCATATCCCTTTGACAAATATTAATATGAAAGCTGCAATGTTAACAATTTGGTCAAAATTATGGACCAATTTTAATCAATTGTACTATTATTTTTATCTACAATCAAATAAAGAGTATGAAGCATTGTTTTGTCTTTGTTTTGATTTAATAAGGTAAGACTATACATCATGGCATATACATGTCAGTCACAGTCTCCAACCTTTTTCAATCACATTTGAATAATGCTAACTCTCTGAAACAGTTTGAAAAATAATGAAACATTAACATTAACATTAACATAAATTTGATAAGAATTATACATCATGACAAATTCCATGTCAGTCATTGTCTCTCATCAAACATTGTGAAAAAAATTACACTCAATGTCAAAAGATACAACTGGTCAAATTTCAAATGTTTTACCACTACCAGTACTGTGATCAGTGATCACAGTAGTGGTAGTGGCCCTTTTTGTTCGGGCACGATGTCAAAGGCGTCCGCCATGTTGGATAAACAATCAAGGGAAGTAACTCCAGTTCCAAGTTGTCAGCAACGTTCGTTCCCGATGATTTCCGATTGTAAAATACGTATTTTATCAGGTGGTGTTTGAATAATGAGGGAAAAACCGATACGCCAAAAACGTATCGTGATGAATTTGAATTGCAATATACCGGTATACCGATAAAACCACACATCCCTACCTGACCCGGATCCTGAATGTGACCAATCATAGAGCTGCTGCAGTGAAGGTGGTTGCCCAGCTACCAGTGGATTGGTCTCCATACTGCGCTCTGTGTCATGGTGTGATGGTGCACGGGTCTTCCTGTACTGCTGATACACGAAGAAGCTAGCCAGAAAGAGGGCACACACAAGCACTATAGGAACAGCAATCAGCGCCATCAGCTGCACAGCATCCAGGTCACTCGAGGTTTTCTGTATACCTGATGAAGTTGAGAGTGAATAATTACAGCTCTTGACAAAATCTGCAGCAACAATTTACTAGAAATAAGTTCTCTTCATCTAACATGCTCAAATGTGCCTATAATCCATTTTTTAACAATGATAAAGACTACTGTGAGAAAAAAGATAAGTGAGTCAGCTTTAATGCTGCTTTGAACAATGTCAGTTACATCAGTGCATGTCAGATAAACATGAAACATTTGAAATTAGGTTACTTGCATGACTGATGAACTCAATTCGAAAATATGATTATTTTGGAAAAACATTCAACATATTTCAGTAAACATAGCATGCATGAACATCAGAACGACTTTTCAGGAACTTAGACCTACCAATGAAATGATAAACAAGAATTTGACACTATCCAATCAGAAAGCAGCTTTCTCTCTCTTTATGGCACTGGTTTCAAACTGCTGAGTACAATTGAACCGACTACGCTTTGAAAAGTATTGATTCAAAATTTTAAACCTGAACAAAAGAAATTGTTGAAGTCTCACAGATGGCCAAAATTGCATCGCAGTCATTCCCATGGGCGATGGAAAGTCTCTTCCATTTCAAAATGTTTACCCCACTGAAAAGAGTGGGATAGATGATTTTGACCGAATCAGTTATACAGCCTGTAACTGTCGTTCGAAATACCCCATGTTTACTTTTTTAGAGGTTGCTTGATTAGTAAACAAATTCAGTCTTTCACTTTCTCGATCTGGCAAGCAATCCACTGATTGGTGGGATGAAAGGTCGTCCTGACATGTCCCATAATGGGATGTCCTCAGATCTTTGTTGAGCTGTAGTGAGAACTGAGATCTAATTCTAATGAGATTGATCCAACTGCATGAACAAGATGTTCATTGCAAAGAAGTTAAAAACATGACTACTGGAAATAGCTTGAGGATATAAGCAGTGTTCCTTAGACAGGTGACCTATATAAAATATTTTTAAAGGGGCACTAATCTCTGGCTGCTTCTCGGCTGTCTAACACTGTCCGCTAGGGCTCACTAGCTGCCGTGAGTCGATTTGCTCACTAACGCAACTGAGTGTGACAAGAAACTGGGCTACCATCTGTAAGGAAAGCTAAATGAACTTGGAGGCAATATTTGTTTTATGCATTTTTTAACATTGATTGTTTGCCCGTGATCTATGAAGATTTTGACAAAGGGCGCATGTTGATTAATTTCTTCAGCCTAAACAAACAGACAAAAAGAACGGTGGAAGCTCATCGGATGTCCTTGTTTGGAAATAACCCAGATGGTTATAGTTTAATAATAAAAAAAGTATCCCTGCAGTGAAAGCATTTTCAGATTTTGGATTGCGTGGATAATACGATTAACACCCCGGTACTCACTTGTTGTCATCAATGTTTTCTGGTATAACCTTACACTTTGTGTATTTGTTGTCATTCACTTAATGCTCAGTTAATTAATCTATTACAGATATAATTAGTGGTAGCACCACTCAGATTACCTGATAAAGGTCCCCATTTGGCATTTCTTTTGTCGGGGTAGTTATTCAATCTAAATCCATGTTTGAAGTGAGGTGAAATGTGTGTTATGTAATATGCATCTGGCAGCCTAGCAAGAGATGAATGATCAGTTGATTTACTTTTTTGTAAATCAACAGATCATTCCTAGCCGTTAAAGGATCAACAGAAAATAAGTTGATTGATTAATCACTGTTATCTTGTACAGTGGATATGTCAATAGTAAGTGTTTACATGTGTAGGTTTACTAAAGCAGATGGAATACACTCATATCATGGCGTGAAGTGCCTATGTAAAAACAACATACTTTGTTCATAGGGTTAACCGATAATATGTTGATTGACTGCTCATTGTTATCTAACTTAATGGATTTTTTTAAAGAACTGTGGACATTATGATAACAGTTGTCACATGGGCTTTCTCGGCTGACCTTTGAGACTTGACACCTATGTGAAACAATGAAACAAACTAAGAGATCAGTTGAACAATTGTTATAATATCCCTAAACGCCATATATATTTTAAAATATTTCATTGTTACAGAGACACGTGACATCGAATAAGTTTCTTAGTACAGCTGCAGATGTATGGGATATTGTACCTTTATGTGGATATTCACAGATACATTCCTCGAACAAGGTAGCTGCCTAAAATTATACATATAATTTTGGTAGATTGTAATTATGATACTTGCATCTTGTTTTCATTCATTTGGTGTAGCATTTAACAGAATCGCACAAATACCAAGCACGTGACTTATCAAAACTTTGTCACCATTACCGATGCTATACCCAAAAAGAAACCTACATTTCCCTATTATTTCCAGAACTGTATTTCATTTTGTTGATCAATAAAACATACTATCAATAAAAGTGACAAATACGCTTATGAATGGCGCAGCAGAGGTCGCGAACTAGTCAAGATTTCTGCTATATCATCGGGGTACACACGGGGAAAAACAATAACAAAAGCAAAAACCAGTCTTGCTTTAGATCCCCTTTAAGATGGGAAGTACACTAGCAGAGATTGGAAAAGTTTCTGATATCATGTCTTCGGTTCATGATGTCAACTCACTTGTATTTCCACCAGGATCTTCCAAGGGAACAGGTGGATCCAGTGTTGGGATTGTTTTCAGGTTGCACATATCACTGTTATTACAACAATGCACATTGAAGCTTGACAGCTTCTTCCGGCTTGCATGACACACGAATGGTCGCATCAGCGGCTTTAAAGCAGATTTTTCTTTACAGCTGTCAAAAAAACAATCCATGCCATTTACATGATTTAAACAAGAGCATGATGAGAATAAAATGTGATTTATTTATTTTCGTCTAGAAGTTACCTCATTAAGTATGCGTGGGTATGAAGGTAATTAACTTTTATGAAATCCAAACATGCATAACCAAGACAATTCAAGTCTTAATATAAAAATGGCATGTATAAATTGCTGTGACACAGCAGACATGACAGAAAAGAACGAAGACATTAATTACACAATAATTCACGTCATATTTTGCATCTTCAATAATATTAGACACATCTAGATCTAACCCTGTTGATGTAAAATGTATTCAAATCGTGTTGGCTAAATTCCTTTGTCATTTCACTCATTTGATTACCATGATTACTTAAAATAATGCTGACATAACATGCTTTAAAAGGAAGTTTGCTATTCTGTACGTACATAGCATGATAAGAAGTACTCAACATGCTCAAGATAAGCATTTGATTATTTGGGTATTTTACCCAGGAGTGAGACTTTGACCAGGTCGACTGGGTATCAACATGTTAAATTTGTATGTGCAACAGTGTTCCATTGATGTGAATAAAGGCTATGTCAAGCAACAAGGTTACAGTGTACAGTGACATCATGATCATAAGATCCTTGTAACATCATGATGCATCACTACTAGTATTGGAAGCAACTTACATCAGGGCATACAATAGGAAGTTTGTGTCCCAGACGGTGAGTTGCACAGTGACAGTAAAATCATAACAGTAGACATCATTAAACATGTTAAACATGTTAAACGTGTTGAACAAGTGTAGAACAAGCCCTACAATTAACTGTTTCAATAGGATTCTAGAAGTTGAGGAGTACATTAGAAAACATACAACTTCATGGATAACAGCATCTTCCCGAGGCAAGAGCGTCCAGTAGCCTTTTTTATTTTTTATCAGTCTTGTTCCCACCCTTCTAGGGTCCCTGCCATCTTTTTGAAGCAATACGAGATGAGAACAGCGATCTGATTGGATATCGCGTTTTCATTACAAGGGGCACAACTCGTGATCTACACGAGTTGGTACCAGGGTCGATCCAAGAAATGTGGCCTTGATGTGGCAAGCGTAGAAACTAGACTTTGATAAAGGCTAGTGGACATGCTTGCCTCAGGAAGATGGGATAACAGCTTATGGTTTATTGAATGGAGAAATGTTTTGATGTAGATTCTGAAACTGTTATCAAGCTGGAATGACTACTGCCAAGAGGTATATACACATATATATATATAAAAATGAGGTAAATGTTCACTCGGTGTACATGTAATATATAATAAAATAATAAAGTCCACGGTAGTCCATCATCTTCTTTATATCAGTTTCATACATAGTACTTTCGCTGTCTCATGACAGCTGTTCAGTGTAACTGACAATGACATATAATGACGTCATACTTATGATGACGTCATAAATTACAACTGTGACGTCATAATGTATTTACACACTCCAGCGACGACACCAAGTAATTTAACAATTGTAGGGAGACATTTGAATTAAATATACAGTATTTGTACATGTTGTAAAGTAACAGTGCAACATTTACGATTGAAATGACAAATCTATTAATACATTCTAGAGTTCAATTTTGGTTTCATCAATCATGTCAATTGGATAAACATTTGTTCTTTTTCCAGTCTCAGCTGCTTGTTACTTGTATACAATTTATAAAACAGAAAAATAGTAAATTTCCCGTTTCCGCAATCATCAATGTGTTTGCTGACACCTATGCATCGAACATTAGGGTCTCTAATCTGCTGTTTGTGTACAGTGACTCTATCTTTTAATTCCATGCCGGTTTCACCGATGTAGTTTTCGCCGTATCCCGAACATCTCATAACATACACCACATCTTTGCTGCGGCAGTTCATGTCGGCTTTCACATTGAAACCCTTGCCATTTGCAAAAAGGAAAGTAGTACCTTCACTTATGATGTTACACGTGCCGCATCTTGGTGTTACACACACACACACACACATATATATATATATATATATATATATATATATAAGCAGCAGATTGACATTAACATGATTAACAGCAACCGGTATTGCATAATAAGTAGCGCAGAGATAATTTTAATGAAGCCAGATGTGCCGTGAGGATAAAAAAGGTGATAAGACACTAACTAAAAAGAGTTGCTTCATTAGATCTACATAGGCAGATGGGATGCTATATCCCTTATCTCTGTTAATCAAAGATTTGTGATAGCGGATCATCATGGATTTCTGTTGCTTCTGGGAGCTTTCTTATTGTTAAGTCCTGATGAAAAGTAGAGATCTAGGCTTTGGACTTTAGTCAAACCTATGATAACCACGCACACTAATAACTTGCTGTTCATGCATGATGTGAAATTGCATCGTGTTGTTGCTGTTGTTGTTTAACGCCATACACAGCAATATTCCAGCTATATTGTGTTCAGATGCAATTCCACAGTATTGTAAATGTACACCTTATCAATAGCTACATTCAAATCATTAGTTCCCATACTTTTTGTCTGTCGGATACTGAAACTGATACAAATAACATTTCCAGATAAGCATGTTGATCCCACATTACTTACATGTAGTTGACCTTTATCTCGTCCGCTTCTCTTGTGACCAAGGTCATGCAAACGCCATCGGTCTCACATGTGTCATTTTGTGTTTGACTGCCTGGCGTGCCACAGTAGGTACATTTGCACAGAAGACCTAAAACCCAAGAGAATAATCATAGTCAATGACAGATATATATACAAACATACAACAGACAGCAAGGCAGTTAAACATATTGAAGCTAAAAAGACCTTAATACTCATCATGCTCATGACACTGTCGTACCGTGAAGATTCTGGGTTAGAATTGGTCTTCAGCAACCATGCATGTCGTGAGAGGCGACTTATGGGATCAGGTGGTCAGGCTCGCTGACTTGGTTGATCCATGTCATCATATCCGAATTGCGTGGATCAATGCTCATGATGTAAATCACTGGATTGTGTGGTCCATACTTGATTATTTACTGTCTGCCGTCATATAGCTGGAATATTGCTGAGTGCGGCGTTAAACAACAAAGAAACAAACAAAACAATATTAGGCCTAGAGGCCTCACATAGAATGAATTGTGTCATATTGAAATCTTTTGTTAGGGACATTACACTGTCTTAGGTGTATATCTACCACCTACATAACATTGAGTCAATAGAGCAAATTGTTTCGTTATGACATGACTGTAAAATAAGCAAGGGTCTTTGGCCTTTGGAAAATGGACAAATAGTAGAACAAGATATTTTCATACTATTAACAGATTAATATAGCATGATATAGTATTATATCAACAAACAAACATGACACTGTCTCAAGTCCAGGATCACAGTATTCAACCAGTTAATTGGTACTTCATGTACTAGACATTAGTGCCATAGGTACAGGGTTTGAATGAGAAGCTCAGAGTGGGCCGCACGATTTGTGCTGTTATTGTTAAGTTGGCCTTAATCATGTTAATTGCAGTAGTCCAGCAAAATATAACCTAAAGACTGAGTTCCTGAATGTGTCTCTTGTGGAAAATGAGACACTCATTTATATATGACATGTGGTCTTAGATTGTGTGTCGTAAAAACATGTTTAACTGTATTTGGAACCGTGCATGATGTCTGAGGAACTGAGGATAATTTTGCTTGTTTCTGATGAAAATTTGTGATCTTTTATTTATGTACTCTGTCGCAGAATTTGCTGTATTATACATTATACTGTTTTAGCTGTAGTGTTTGTTCATTGTTTAATGCCTCACTCAGCAGTATTCCAGCTATATGATGGCGGTCTGTAAATAATAGCGTCTGGACCAGAAATCAAGTGAATGACATCATGAGAATCAATCAATGCAAATGGGGCACAATGACATGCATCAACCAAGTCAGCTAGCCTGACTACCCGATCCCATTAGTCGCCTCTTACGACAAGTGTGGGTTGCTGATGACCTACGACCCACTACATGTGCTCTAACCTGATCTTCACAAGTTGTTTACTTCATGAATAATAATGCGCATTACCATGACTGTGGTCATCATATTCTATGTACCTCTCCAGCTTACTACATGTACTAGTGAGAAAGTACATTTAACCATGTTAACCGGGGGCTTCATACCGGTAAGTTTATACAGTGTCTGTACAGCATGTACAGTAAACAGCATCACAAGGAACGCAAGGTATTTTTGTAAAAACAGTATGAATTCCCAAGAGCAATTTGCATGATTTGGGCAGCAGGAACTTATTTTTTATACCAGGGTTTTACCTCAACTTAGAAAAGTGGGGGTCCAGGGGACCCCCAATAATTAAGTTTAAGGGTCCTTGCAGGCAATATGGGGGTCGTGTAAAGTAATGAAATGGTGAAGTGTACTGTACTTTTTGATAATTACTTCTGGGCCTGAAATGTATCAGTGATCATGTGGACAGTGGTCATGATTGATGGGTGAAATAACAGACACCCATTACTTCTCTTGATGCACTGTATGTACAATGAATATTATTGGAATGCAGTATATTTTCTTCCTGCGTCCATTATCTAACTTTGTGCGTACTGAACACACATTTGTGCATTGCGTAAAACCTTTTGATACAAAGGTATGATTATAACCATGAGATTACCTGCTAAGATGCATAGCCCTGATCATGCTGAAGACAGGGATTTATTAAGGATTCCAAACTAGGTGCGGTGAAATGGGGTTTAACTTCATGTTCAAGATTATTGCACTTATACATGTATAACAACATGAATGGACATGTGTGTGGCAGGTTGTAATAGTCCAGACTAATGACGTTTTTATAGTGCTAGCTAGCCAACTCAGAGATAACATGAATACCACACTCAGACACAGTATACAGACTCTGAGCCGACCAGCCCTTGTTTTATCCACTTAATGCTGAGCATCATCCTCCACAAAGCAATCATGATTAGTTATAACTGTATCATGTATATTAACATGAATTGGGAATTGTTTTTTCCTCATCTGTCATGTTTCACTGACACTTGCTCCAGACCAGGGGCAAATGAGCAGGGCTAGATAGAAAGATACAGATATAGATGTTATATCATGATCACGATGATAACAAGACATCTCAACTTCAACCTATATTTCTGATGGAAACTCAAGATAGGCCTTGCAGCCAAACAAAACTGCTTCTATATCCTAAATGCATTCTTCTAACCATGCTCACGCTACAGACAGGTGTGCATGCCAACTTTCACTGGCAGGTCATTGAGACGGAAATTCTTGGCACAGGAAAAACATCAATCTATATTAATTGCAAGGAAGGCATTTGAGGATTTGAAGGGTCTTTTTAATTATTAAGAAAAAGGTCAAGAGATTGTTTTACATTTCAGTTCAAGATGTTCACTGACAATCCAGAAAGCAAAGCATGATGATATCAATGGTATTAGAGGACTGAAACTGAAAGAGAATACTTCTGATATTGTTTACAGACACATCATTCCAAGGTGTCTTGGCAAAAAGACACCAATAAATTTACAAACTGGAGTTAACATTGTAAACAAGGTCATAAATTGCCCAAATACTCAAACATCACCATCTTTCACATAAAAGGCGACTATGCTTGTTGTAAGCATGGTAAGAGGCGACTAACGGGATCTGGTGGTCAGGCTTGCTGGTTTGGTTGAAGCATGTCATCGATCCCAATTGCATGGATCAATGCTCATGATATCAATCACTGAATTGTCTGGTCCAGACTCAATTACTAACCATGCTAACAGACAGCCGTCATATCATTGCATATAGCTGGAATATTGCTGAGTGCAGCGTAAAACAACAAACGAACCATTATGAATTTCACTGTGAGGCGTAGACTTCCATACATCTGTGAGGAAATGATTATTAGTTTAAATGATAATTCCTAGACTATATAATCATTAATATATATTAAACCACAAAAGAAACATCACCATGGATAGATATATGAGAAACCTTATTTGTCCAAACACTGTAAAGATACTTTGAGACATATTAAAAGGATGAAACTTGTCAAAACTGATCATCAAGGTTGAAATTAAAGTGTCAAATGTTCTTAAAGTGAAAACACAACAATAGTCTCTGAGAAAATGGCATCACAAGTGAGTATCTCATGTGTCCGCCATGTGCATTGATGACTGCCATGCAACGTCGATACATGGAATGGATGAGGCAGTTGATGAAGGCCATAGGCACTTGAGCCCACACTCTGAGGAAAGCCTGACATAGTTCAGCTACAGTTGTTGGCCTTGGGCGGACATCATTCAGCCGTCTTTGAATCTCGTCCCACAGGTGCTCAATGGGAATTAAATCGGGACTGAGGGCAGGCCATTACATGGTTCTGATGCCATTCTGCTGGAGGAAGTCTCTTGTTGCTCTTGCAGTGTGGGCACAGGCGTTATCATGCTGAAACTCGTGGTTGCGGCGACATGCCAAATGAGGTATGGCGTGTGGTCTCAAGACTTGATCAATGTACCGAGCTGCTATGACATCATTGCCTCTCCCTGGACCGATGTTCTGGAAGACCACAGGGACGACCCTCTGTGCAAGACCAATTCCACCCAACACCATGATGCTCAGATCACCCCAAGAGTCTCTCTCAACTGCACAAGCATCCGAATAACAGTCCCCAAGGTGTCGCCAGACTCTCTCTCTGCCATCTGCTGTTGAGATACAGTAACGGCTCACGTCTGAGAAGAGGACTCTTCTCCACTGCTGATGGCGCCAATGCTGGTGCTGTGTTGCCCACTGAAGACGGTCCCGGAGATGATGTGGTGTCAGAATGGGTCCTCGGTGTGGCCTGTGACAGTTGAGGTGTCTGCTCGTCAATCGTTGACACACGGTGTACACTAATGTGTCGCTGGTGTGTCCCCATGGTCTGTCGAGCAGTTTCCAAAGCAGTAACAAAGCGTTCTTGAAGATGCTGTCGCACAATCTGGCGATCCTGGCGTCAGGTGGTGACCCTTGGTCTTCCACTCAAGGTCGGTCATCTGTAGTGCTGGTGGTCTGGTACCGTTGCTGGAGCCTGTATATCCTTATGTGGACTTGAAATGCATTGGCTACTTGCTGGGCGGTTTGTCCAGCTTCCAATCGTCCAAGGGCTTGATGTCGCTGATATCTTGTCAATCTTGTCATGTGGTAGCAATTCAATAACGAATGAATTTTATCCGATCTTGGTGGATTAAGTGGAAAGTAGAGAAGTACTCAACTCAGCGCTAATAAGTGGTGCTATTTGGTGTGTGATTGGATTAATGTAAGGTTGGATTAAAGTGAGGATTCTCCTGTAAACCTGACAGAGGACATTTCTTTAGATATACATCCACTGATGCTTGAGAGGAAGGGGTGTCGCATGCATATTGAGTCGCATTTTTGGCTAGGGACAAGCGGTCGCATTTTTTTTGGAGACGCATTAATTTCACGATTTACAGTACTTAATCCTAGTTGCCTTGTCTGTTGCTGTCGGACATCTTGATGATGGACTAAATCTGATTCATACAAGCAAGTCTTAATGGCACCATTGCAGGCAACATAATCCATACAGTTTCAGTTTCATAGGACCAGATGTTTAACATAAAATGTTGAAAATGTGTATGTATACAACACGATAATGTGATGCATGCTGGTAATATGGAACATCGTTAACATCTCAACCTATCCATCTAACCCATATTTGATGACATTTAATGATGTACATTGTTCAACAGTATTAGTGATGAGTACTGTCCTGACTTTCGTATTGCAGTTATCGCAATAGTGATTCATGTATTGTGAATTTGATACACACCAAAATATATTGAAACTTCCTAATCATCCGTCATTTTGTTGGATGTTGCCATGGTCACAATGAATGTGTTATAGACACATTATAATTTACATGCAGGAAGCTGGTCATAAGTAGTTTTGATTCTAACATCACATGAATCAGTTGCTAATTTCTGAATTTCAAAATTTTTATTTGACTTGTAACTTATTTAAACTTTGCCAACAAGATGAAAATATGCATGATTTTGAAAAATGCAACATACCAGTATTTTCCAAATTTATTGTGATGTGTATTCATCAGCATTTCATATCTTGGTATACTGGTAATAATGCGCACCTCTAAATAGTATTAATAACATATACAGGGTCTTAGATGGCTAGAATAATTACTGACTGGTATTAGGATATGATTTATTAATTCTGTATTGATCTTGTTGACATAGATCACGTTTATCATTGTATAGTGCAATCTTGTATCAACTAGATAAAAATTTGATCAATGTGTTTAAGAATGCACGTACAAGGCACGAAGAATCCACTCGTCAGCATGTGCAGGACGAGAAAGAAGTAAACAATCGCTTGTCCTACCGGGCAATTACATATTTCAATCATATCAATTCATCTCTAATCAAATGCAATAAAACACCATATTTTCTTGAGTAAAGTGCGCACCCAAGATTAATGCGAACACACCTAGCACCCCCCCTACAAGGTGATTCGGTACTTTTGGGGGTAAAAATTGGCGCATAATGCACAGATTACATCGTATCTCTTCAGCATGTTCAGCGAATTCAGGTAAACAAACAAACATAACAAACCTGGTCAATACAAATTTGAAATTTGAGATAAAATATCACTAGACATGATTTACCGTTTAAATTGCATTTCCTGTTCTACTAGAAATTGTTTTATATGCAAAGATTAAGATTACCGTGTGTAATGTCTCGTAAACTGAGTCGGAAACAGCAATCAGCTGTACACACTCTTGCTCCCAATCTACCGGTGATTCGGTTAAAATTACACAATAAGATAACCTTAAAGAATTTTGATGAAATGATCAGAAGAATTGTATCTGAAACTATTATTTTATCAGGAATAATATATCCCACATACCGTCTTAGTTGCAGTTAAACTATGTATATTTAAAAATAATAATAACCATAAACGAAGCACTTTCGTACAGCTGATCGCTATTGCCAGAAATGTCTTACATATGGAACAATTTGACCATCGAGGCTCCCACGCTAGCGATCATGAAAACTTATGTTGATATGTCATAGTCAAACTACAACAAATATGACTTAAACGGGTCAAAGTATGACCATGATGACATTTATAATAGAAACTAGAATTTTGTTTGTTCATATAGAAGTAAATATAAACTATAAAAAAGTGTCCAATAAACATGTGATAAAGCCTTAAAGGAGATAGACACTTAGACCGCTTTATGTCATCAGAAAAAATGACTAAACATGTTAAATGTGAAATTAATACACACAAACATGACAAAAGGCCCCTTCTTTGGAAAAATAACTCAGTCTTGATAAGTATCTCTCAGATAAGCTCACTTCAGTAGTTTCAAAAATAATTGACGGGACCAATTTTCAAACTCAATCTTGACAAGTATCTCGTAGATAAGCATGCAAAGCTTTTATTCATGCAAATTCAATAGTTTCTGAGAAAACTTGTCCCCATAGCACACACGGTGCATTAAGTAAAATAATATTGATCAAGGGCCACAACTCTGTACAGACTTTACAGGACTTCAGCAGAAGAAACTAACAGTTTTCATTCACTAGCCCTTATGATGATAACACATAGCAAAACCATTAAACATTTGTTAAAAAGGAGAAATTTCTACTAGTCCTTATGATAACATTAACCATTGGGCAGTTTGGCAAAGACAAGAGGACTAGTGCCTATTTCTAATGCTGGACTTTTAATATTTTTTTTTTTAAGCGAATTGGCAGAGATGAATGAAGATGGCAGGGACTACTTATTTTGTACTGTCTTTCTTAAATATCCTCAACTATCAGATCCAAAGTCTTGACTGGTGATTGGGTTAAACAAAAAGTTCTGAAATGAAACAAAAGTTCAAGGGAAAAGTAGTAATCATGTTTAACATGTTCAATGCTGTGAACATGAACAAGTATCTAAGTTATGAATTAACTTCATTCAGCACAATATCATGCAAAATCACAGAATCAGAGCTCCAGATAAGCCGTGCATCTGCGTAAAAAAAACACATAAAAAATGCAGAAATATGCAGTAAAATAAAATCCAAGCGTATCAAATACGCAATGAACATTACAGATACGCTACCAAAAAAAACTTGTGCATATCATCAAAATATTGTGAAGTAACCCTGCGTATTCGATTAGTTAATCAGCAACTTATTTTGAAATTATAAACGGGCATTCCGTCAACCTTGCCAAACTCCACGATGACAGTTACATCATGATCATTTGCCATCACACATTCTTGTGGAAGTATCATGGTATTTTTTAGTCCTATAAAGCTCTCGAATCCACGCGACACCAGTTTGCAGGGACTAGATTAATAGTGTTTTTAAATATTTAACTTTAATACCCACATGTCTAAATACTAGCGGGTAACAGAAACTTGAATACCCAGATAGAATTACTGATACCCAATGATTTTAAAATGCATGAGTAAAATACCCACAACACCAAAAGCTTATCTCGAGCTCTGAGAATAGATTTGTGAATTTTTACTACATAAAGTTTAATTTATACAGGAAATGGTAATAATAACTGAGACCAAAAAACGTTTTTACAATTTAAAAGGGCAAGTGAAAATATTGTACCACGAGTACAAAATAATATCTACTTGCGCTGCAGGACAAGTGTGGTTTGAGACATTTTTTTATCCCTGCACTTGTGCCCTTGGTCTCTGGCAAATAACTGTTCAAGTTACAACGCATATTGCAACTAGATCTGAGTATCGCCAAAAGAAATATACCCAGGGATTTATCTAGGATTTATTCCAAACTACATGAACTAAGTGGCCCGTGTCCATGTTGTCAGGCAAACTTTGAAAAAATTGTGGCATTGTTCAAAACTAGATTTTTTAATGTTCTTATTTTCATAAATTCCAAGGAAATGGGTATTTAAAAAAAATAATTCATATTATTACCCTCATTGCACCCAGTTTGTATATACCTGAACAAGTAACTATATATAATTTGTGCATTCATCATGTTCAGTTCAATGTAATAAATTTGGAGCGGCACTGTGGAACAAACACCAACCACTTTACTGTGAACAAATGGTCATTCCAAGACTTCTCTCTAATATGGGAGGACAGAGACCCTGTATCAGTATATATATGGCCTCTGGTGAGGATACTGAATGTGTCAATAGAAGAAACTTGCTTTGTAACGAAAAGTACAATGCACACTGATCATCAGGATCATTGCCAATGTAAACATAACAGAAACATGAGACAGTACAGCATGCTGACAGATGTCTGTTTTATCAGTGCATGCTGTGTTCACGTGCAGAGACCATATACTGCTCTATGGTCTGTCATATGAGCTTGAGATCTTGTGTATTGGGGACTGTGTCACAGTGTGTGCTCAACTGCCACAAACAACATATTTCTTATGTAGTAACTGAAATAGACATGGCAATGCACAAAAAGCAAATAAAAACCCACAAAAACTAGTAACACACAGTTTATATCTTTATATACCATGATATACATCATATTTAACAACTGGTGTAAAATAATGATGAGAATGCAGGGATTTATCTCTCCATGCTTAAAGACCGATATTCAGACCTAAGTCTGCTGTTACTAGATAATAGTTATTTTTTATATGATGCATCAGCATGTGCCAAAACATTAATCATGAGTCTACTAACCCGCACTTGACTAGCATAATTATTCTTTCAACGTTTGATTAGGTGGCGATCTCTGTGTTGCTATTTCCATCCATGGCTAGCCAAGATCTGATCACGTTTCATCTTTTGTATCATTTGGAGAAATGAATCACTTATCATGCATTTTGTCCCAATTGTAACATTCGAGGCACATACGACAAAGCGACATTCTTTGGTAAACTGTCAAATATCTTTGTGTCGTCAAATACAATGGAATATGCACCGTATCGCTTTTATCACAGAGAAATGTTGATTTATTGATAGAGAAGTAGACAGCAGACGACATAATCGGACCTCAAAATCTTATCTCGAGTGTTTCAAATGATGCTCGTGGTTCACAGTCTACACCATTATAAAGCCAAGTCAGTGATGATTATATGCATATATTCGATTATGCCTAGGGTTCCAACCATTTGGTTTTGTGTATATGAGCATAATCAAGGTGGCGGCCATTTTGGAAGCGATTAAACCAAACATGCTGCGAATGCGAGGGAAAATACCGACTTTATATAAAACAAGAGCTTGGGGTACAGAGACAGTCACCTACCTGTAGTTATTGGGAGAAAAGACAAAAGTACGAATCCAAATAAATTCATGATTCTCTCGTATGATTCTGTTTGTCACATTTGTAGGTATCCACCGGCCTTTATCTCACAACAGTACAATAACAACCGATTCGCAGTGACCTACATTTATACCGTTGCAGACACAAATAGTTCAGCGTATAAATAGTACTTTATTGTAATCTGTATCATCAACAGATACTATATGTATTATTTCATATGAATGGTTTGCTTTGTAAGACACTGGTATCTCTAATTTACAGAAATAGGGTGTTTTGTGAATTAGCTGACATACCATTCCGCTCGTTCGTGTGAGAGCGTAGGAATACATTTACCGACAACAACAGGGTCAAACGAAAGAAAGACATATAACATAAAAAAAGACATAATGCTGTAACCGAAAGGAGCAAATATGTTTGTTTTATCCGAGCAACCCAGCTATTTGTATACTTTGTCTTGAAAAGAAAACAATGTTGGTATTTGATTTATATATCGCCATTTTCCATTTTTCTCTGGAACTGTAACTTAGGTTATTTAGAATTTTTCTAAAGATATTCTAATGTTTGATAGTGTAGTGTTCATAAACTTTTCATCTATCAAATACATATGAAGGTTAATTAACTTAAATAACAACATTTTATTAATTATAAACAAAATCTGTCAAGACGGCATGTTTACTTACGGGACAGATTTGTTTATATGACATTTCGCCTATATGTCTTAATAGGGTTGAACATCAAAACACTAAAACATATAATCTGAACTGAATAAATATTAAAACCAATTTCATCAATGAAATAAGTTTCGAATTACCCCAGAAAACTTGTTATAGATGACTATTTTTTTCTGACAAATGTGCTTGTGCGCTAGAGACATTGATCACATGCATTAAAAAGGGTTTTCGATAAAAAGTGGATCGACAAGTGGTCATATTCTGAATCAACATATTTGGTCATATCATCTAAAGCATGCGAAATCAGCTGTGAATTTTGGTGTCTTTTCTGTAGTAGTTCAATATGCTTTATGTCAAGGTGCATAAGACATTGATCTGATCATCAAAACAAACTCTTTGGTAAATATACCAGTAACTTGTTTGATCATTTAATAAAGGTCAGTTTGATATAAAAAAAGCATTAATTGACATAAATTACTTCCTGATATATAATAAATTATAAATTGTTATCTTGATATTTAACCATTGGGTTATCTGGTGAAAGTATTTAATTATCTGTATATGAGATTTATTTAAACATTTTATTTAGGCTCGTCTTTATTAAAAAAATATATAGATATTATTATATATTGAATGTATTAAACACAATTAAAATATATTTTAGAAATGGTCGTTTAATATGAAATGGAGAAATTATCAAATGATTTAAGATATGAATAGAATGATGTGTTAATTGAGATTCTCTAAGACAATATGGGCTGATCCATTGTAACAATAGGAAGACCTAACTTATCATCACAACACTCCCTCCGTAAGCTTCCTTACGTACTTCTTCGTTATGTGCAATGGGGAGGGGGAAAATGTGTGTGTGTGTGTGTGTGGTGGTAGGGGGTGGGGTGGGGTGGGGTGGGGTGGGGGGTGGGTGGGGGGTCACACTTTGACTTTTGGTAAAATGTGTGTGTGTGCTCTCTCATATGGAATTTAATGTTAGTAGGTGTGGTTTTGGTCTATTGACACGAGCTTTCAGTATTATGAAGGAATTTTGTCTCATCAAATAACTATTTTTTTGCTTTTTATCCACCATGTAACAAGGGTGTATACTTTCTTTTGCCATGCAATTTAGTTCATCACGGAACTCTGTATCGTCGTGAATCGATCGAGGTAACCTGGACACAAAATACTGCACAACCAGGTCAGATGCTGCATGTGACACTGGGACACATTTGTAACCCCGATAAGGTGGTTTTCCTCTAGTGTATATCTAATGTGCTTATATTTCATTCATGCATGTGTCATGTCGAGCAGTAGTCCAGCAAATTCAGCCTTTTTGTGTTTACATTTCACAACGTTTGAGATCAAACAGAGCATGTCCTTTCTATGAAGATTTTAAACTGGGTCATATGACTCTTGCTCAAAACGTTGTTTGATCAATGTTACATCATTCAAGGCCTCAGTTTAACTTTCAAAATGTTGACTTGTATATTGACTTGTACTCTATGTTACCGTGTTTCTTTTAGGTGAACACCGCCTCCGTGGCCTAGTGGTAGAGCGTCCGCCCGGAGAGCGGAAGGTCCAGGGTTCGATCCCCGGCCGCGTCATACCAAAAGACGTTTAAAGATGGTACTTGTTGTTACCCTGTCTGGCGCTCGGCATTAAGGGGCTAAAACAAGGACTGGTCGGCTCGGAGTCAGTATACTGTGTCTGAGTTGGGTATTCATGCTAAACTGCGGCATTGTATCTCAGTGGGCTAGCACTATGAACAATTGATTTGCCTTTGCGTGTGTTTGTGACGGGTTCTCCCGATGGGGAAAAATACGCCCCCTTTTCGAGAACACCTGGTATCATCCCTATTTGACCGTGATTCACAAACACACGCTCATGATATATGCCGTATTCGACGTAATAAGCGCCCCGCTCTAATAAGCGCCCACGGCGACATTTGCTACTATATTGGCTTGTGAACAATCCCATTTAGCACCCCTTCCGATTGATCAATGTACACAAGACTTATTTATTCGCGTACAATACGCACTCGTGTGTTATATGCATTCTTAATTATGGGCAATTAAATTCTGGAAAAATATATCTGTCGCATATAAACATTTCAGTATGTCAGCATAAACCACGAAATTTATCTTTCAACTCTGTTTTTTCCACCAAAAAAATATTCTAATAAGAGCCCCCGTATTTCTAATTTTGAGAGAGCCCTGCGCGCTTATTACGTCGAATACGGTAGTCGGAATGGCACAAGGGAATTGGTTTTGTCGCTTTTGTTTACAACCCGAACAGGTGTCAATTACAAGGTGCTATTTATTTTCAACAGTAAAATATAATATGTTTGTATTTTGCAAAGTCGTTGGCCAGCATGTGTAAAATCGAGTGTGATGAACACGTGGTGTTTGTAGAACACATAAAGATGTACATAACTTCCCTGACACCATTTTTAAATTTCTAAACAGAAGACAAATACTTGCGCTACTCTCCCTCTGACACTTAGCTTCTACTTGTTATAAGCGGACAATGACGCCATGCACATGTGATTGACAGTAGGACGCCAATTAGTGGCCTCATCAGGCTAGGCAGCATACAGTGCTCAGAACGGTTCATTACCTTGAGATCGACCTTCGTGATGTTAGAAATAACAAAGCGAGTGATGCACAAAAGAGTGTGCCTTTTCAGAACAAAAGAAGTGATTACAAGCAATTGGTAACTACACATTAGGGTGAGGTGAGGTGAAATGGGGTTTAACGTCGCGTCCAAGATTAATGCACTTATATAGCGACGTGCATGTACGTGTGTGTGTTTGTGTGGCTGCTTTTACTAGTCCGGACTGATGCCGATTTATAGTGCTAGCACACTGAGATACCATGCCGCAGTTTAACATGAATACCCCCCTCAGACACAGTGTACTGACTCCGAGCCGACCAGTCCTTGTTTTAGCCCCTTCATGCCGAGCGCCAGACAGGGTAACAACAAGTACCATCTTTTAACGTCTTTTGGTATGACGCGGTCGGGGATCGAACCCTGGACCTTCCGCTCTCCGGGCGGACGCTCTACCACTAGACCACGGAGGCGGTCTACACATTAGGGAATGAAAAATAGACGAAATAGATGCATCTCATGTTTATTTACAATTAACAATCTTTGACAATATGTATCACAGTTTGAACTCATTTAAGTACAGTTGTCACAGTTCATGACAATTTAGGCAGGTGGGAGGTAGCATCTGCATAATGGATGACATCCATGTCTGCGGTTTAGTAGATTCAGGCTGTGTATGTCATTTTCCTTCGTGGCATTTATTGCAGTGGGAGCTTCTTTTTGAGGAAAGACAGCATCTCGAAGACGTTTATAGGGTGTGGCATCTGTATTAACTTCTTCAGTCTTCCATGTCATCCTTCCAAATGGTTATTGACCATTAGCAATGGTGATCACATCAGCACATTTGAATTTGAGTGACTATGTGAATAAACTCATATCATATACCTGTAGTTGATTGGTTGTGAGGTGAGGTGAAATTGAGTTTAACGTGGCGTCCAAGATTATTGCACTTATATAGCGACGTGCATGTACGTGTGTGTGTTTGTGTGGCTGCTTGTACTAGTCCGGACCGATGCCGATTTATAGTGCCAGCTCACTGAGATACCATGAATACCCCACTCAGACACAGTATACTGACTCCGAGCCGACCAGTCCTTGTTTTAGCCCCTTAATGCCGAGCGCCAAAAAGGGTAACAACAAGTACCATCTTTTAACGTCTTTTGGTATGACGCGGTCGGGTATCGAACTCCGGCCCTTCCGCTCTGTGGGCGGACGCTCTACCACTAGACCACGGAGGCGGTCTTGATTGGTTGTGAGTGACCTCAAACCCAAATAATATAACCTCTATTTCAATCATTTTTCGGAACACATGTTGCACTTTTCAACTAGTCCGGTGTCTTATTGCCCCAAAACAACATCACATTGCCTGCAGGCAACATCAAAGCAATTTACACTGTAATCACAAAGGTCCATCTCTGGGGAAGACACCCTCACAACACGGGTAAGACGTGGTGTCCGGATTAAAATTATTATATTCTCATACAATCACAGGAATAATACAGAAAAATGCAGCATATGACATTGACATGTTATATTACGTAGTTTAGACGTGGCGCATACACAAGATGTTTCCTTGAAAGTTGCACATAATATGTATCATTTAGTGTATGAGGTTAAATGGGGTTTAAACGTCGCGTTCAAGATTATTGCGCTTATATAGCGACATGCATGCACGTGCGTGCGCGCGCGTTTGTGTGTCTGCCCACTGAGATAGCATGCCGTATATTACCATGGAGACCCCACTCGGACACAGTATACGACCAGTCCCTACCGAGCGTGTTGAACAGTGTCGAATAACGAATTTCTGTACCAGAATATATCATGTAAACATATGTGAGGTGGGTGTTGGAA